ATGACTTTAAAAACGCACCTCATTAATCTTTATTATATATCTGTGAGGGAGGTAACTATCGGCATAAATCGCATGTAGGGTAAAAGCTTGAAAAAAAATTAGAGGTGAAGTTAGGACTCAAAGGCCTTTTTTCTTTTTGCCTCTCTTCTTCCTTTAAGGAAGAGTAGGAGACAACAGGATGGGAAAGCAAAACAAAAAATAACAAAATGATACCCTGTATCAGTGCTCATAGTTTTGGAAATGTCCAAAGTTTACTTATGACGCTCCAGCTTGGTTAACTCATTATCCACGTTCTCTTGTGCTGATGGTTTTATTTTGTACAGATGATTGATGATTACAGTGTTAATTGAAGAGCCAATCACTGGTTTTTCTCTGAGCTTTGCATTGAAATAATGGAAATGATTTCTTTTGGGCATAAATAATAAAATTGCTTTTGTACAAAGGTGAAAATTACAGGCACTAAGAAATTTGTTGGATGTTGTTTTGCTAGAGGACAAACTTTTCAGCAGACAATTTTGCACTGTCTGGTTCAAGTTCTAGAGCAACTCCCCTAGAGTTTCAGACTGTTTGTCATTGTACTCACTAGGGGCCACTCTGAAATTTTAAAGAGAACACACCATCACAATAGAATAAATGAAGAGTAATAACATCATCAGTTGTTATAGTCTAAGATTCTTTAAAGGTCATTGAGCCTGCTTCCTTCCTTTTACACTTGAAGACATTTCAGCCTGTAGAGGTACAGCTCATTCAAAATCATGCCCTGGGTGAAGCTGGATCCAAGACTGGGCACCAGTCTCTTAGTTAGGGATCCAGTTCTTTTTCTATAGCATGGTCCACTTGTTAAGGAAACATTTATTTAGTTTAATAAAGCACTAAGAAGATCATCAAAGACATCAGTAGGAGCACTGCTCTCCCACTTCTTATTTCTCACAAGCAAAGTCTGATTTGTCCAGAAGCAGATGACTCTCTCCTCCTCTGTTATTCGAACTTCAGAATATTTTGCCCTTGTTTTTCCTTCACTCTGCTTATATGTTCATTTTGTTTCCATTAACCTAGGAACCTATAATTATGACAGGTTAGAATGTGACCCGCTCTCAAAAAATACAAGATAGATACGGCAGGAATATAATTTCGTTAGTGGAAAGTGAATAATTACACATTGAACTTCAGTTTGAAATATTTTCAGTGAGAGAAATATCCACACGCATTCCTCATTCTACTTTTTCATTCATTTTGGGATAATTACATTCATTTTGCAAACCTAGATATATTTTTCAGGAGAAACAGTAAAGTTTCATAAGTATTAAATGTGCCATTGCATACACTTTTAAATTTAAAATTAAAACTCATTCTGCTTTCTTTTATTTTTTTTCTATTTAAGTAAATTCCCCACGTGCAGAAACACATCCAATTGCCCTTCTTTCTTCTCTATTGAGTAATTGAATGTGTGTGTGTTTGTTTAATAAAAAGAAGTAGTGATTAATTAGAAGGAAGTTGTTAATTCAAGTTAAAACCTTTAGTCTTAAAACATAAATTATTTTTTGTCTATATTATTGTTTACATTTAGTGTCCTTCCATGATCCACTTTTCTGGACAAGGCAATGAGATAAAGCATTCTAATTGGCTATAATAGGAAATACAATTTCATTCCCAAGAACAAATGAGGCATAATACTAAAAGGTTGTAGGAAGAATAAAACTGATCTGACCAAATATTAAACAGTTAAACCTACCAGACCTTCAGTGCTATGATTAGATAGTCATGGATGGTTCAAAGCTATGGAATCACATTCTGTTTCAAGCTGATAAGGTATGCTTATTGGTCAACTTGGTCTGCCATAATAAAATACCACAGACTTCAAAGACTTAAACAACAAATTTCTGGAGCCTGGAAATCCAAGATCAAAGTTCCAGCAGGGTTGGTGTTTTGTGAGGCTTCTCTTCTTGGCTTGCAGACAGCTACCTTATTGCTGCATCCTCATTTAGCCTTTTCTTTGTATATATGACACTCCTGGTGTCACTTCCTCAAAAAGGACAGCAGTCCTATTGGATTAGGGCCTACCCTTATGACCTCGTTTAACCTTAATTACCTTCTTAAATGCCCTATCTTCAGAAACGGTCCTACTGGGGGGGTAGGGCTCCAACATATAAATTTTGAGGGGACACAATTCAGTCCCTAACAGTATGGACTTAGAAATCATTATAAAGTATTGTATACCATGCATCAATTGCAGGGATTACATTTTGCATTTGGAGCCAATACTCTGGACTATCCATATATATGTTATTTTACTATCCAACCTCCTACCTATTTTAATGAATCTGCCTCTGCTCAGAATTGTCATGGCATTCTGGGTATATGAACATATAATGTGAAGGAATGTGAACTATTCATCTTATAGTATAATTGATATGCAGATAATAACATTAATATCTAATATTAAGAAGTCACTGTGTCAGTCACTTTGCTAATTTATTTATATTATCTTATAACAAGTCTGAATTCCATGAAGTAGAATTATTTTCAGTAATTTATATAAGAAAAAGTAAAGCTGGGGCTGGCCCCGTGGCCGAGTGGTTAAGTTTGCGCGCTCCGCTGCAGGCGGCCCAGTGTTTCGTTAGTTCGGATCCTGGGCGCGGACATGGCACTGCTCATCAGACCACGCTGAGGCAGCGTCCCACATGCCACAACTAGAAGAACCCACAACGAAGAATACACAACTATGTACCGGGGGGCTTTGGGGATAAAAAGGAAAAAATAAAATCTTTAAAAAAAAAAAAAAAAGAAAAAGTAAAGCTTAGAGAAGTTAAATCTCTTATCAAAAGGACCACTTCCACTTACCTATGGTCTGTGTACTTGTTAGAGCTTTCCCAGACCCTAAAACTTTGCTGAAGCCCTTGACCTCTATTTACTTGATCAAGACCCAATAGTACAGCTCAGTTTCTATAGGATCAGCCACTTTCTTGTTGTCAAAGCCATCATAAGTCAAAGTATTGCAGTTTAAATTCTCCTGCCCAGACTCAGCAGTTAAAAGTCAAATACACATATTGTGACATAGTCCTCTAAAAGCATTCACAGTGCCCTGTCCACCAACTAAAATCCAAGATCCAAGCCACAGACCCTGGACAAATGGACTCCCCAAGCACTACATGTGTTCTGCTTCCCCAAAGGTGACTTTTATCTCCCAAAACTACAGACCTCCCGTATTTTGCCAGGGCAGAGCCTGGAGCCATAAACCAGAGGCCATGGAGGTCACTCTATGAGCAAGTTTATTCTGAATGGAGAAGAAGTGAGAGGAAGGGGCGGGGCCAAATATTCTCCGCTTTTCCTTCCAAACTCACCAAGTAGATCACTATAGCTACCTCCCCTAGAATCAAATATGTGAGGAGGCAGAAAGAAACCAGTAGTGCTCACGTGAAAGGGAGCATCAAGTGTAGATGACAGGCATTTCTGTTCAAAATCCTGCCTCAAGAGTGATCATCATTTACAGAGATTTATTTGTACAACACTGAAATTAGATTTAACCAAAATTATGATGTAATTATAATATATGATGAGGAAAGGGAAATGGCACATGTGCATGTGTGTGCATATGTGCATGTGTGTTTGTGTGTGTATTCAGGTCAGGTCACACAAAAAGAGAGTTGGAACCACATCTGTCATAAACGGGTATAAGATGATATGTAAAACTGAAAAATCAAGTTTAAGCATATTTTATGTATATATGAAAGGAAATAGAAGAAATAGTTGTAAGAATTCAAAGTAGTTGCTTCAAAGGAGCATAACTCAGAGGTGGGGCAAAATTGTGGCTAGGAAAATATCTCTTATTTTTTAAGCTTTGTGGTATTATTTGATTTTAATAAATATACAGTTTTGCTTTGATATAAATTTTTAAATGCTATGGAATAATAACCATAGAAAGGTGAAAGCTTTGCCTGTTTTTCTGATGCTTATACATAGCCAAGAAAACAAAAGAGAAAAAGGAGAAGGAAGGAAACAAAACAAAGCAAAACAAAAACAACTGGATGTAGTAGCAGGTAGAAACTTATGGTCAAGATCGAGACAATGGCACTGCATCTCTGAAGGATCGTTTTGAGAAGGGAAAAAGAACAAATGTAGCATAAATATTTTCAAATTGCAGTTTTAGAGACCCATGCCAGCTTTCAAGTCCCCTGGAGCTGCACGGTGCAGTATGGTAACCATTAGGCACACGTGGCTATTTAAAATAATTAAATTTATATAAAATTTTAAATTTTATCCTCACATTAGCCACATTTCATGGCTCAAAAGCCATGAATGGGTTCTGGCAACCTTCTCAGAGAGCAGAAATAAACATTTTCATCATTGCAGAAATTCTGTTGGAAAGCACTGCTCTAGGTCTTGCTGTTTTTAAGTTGAATTTGCACTGAGACTGTGCCCTGAAGTCCCCTATCTTGAAGAGAAATGAACAAACCTGCCAAAGCATCGATGTCTTCATAAAACCAAATACGTTCATCTCATCTAGAAACAAGTTGGCTAGTCTAAACCTGAACTGGGACTACTTCATTCAGATTCTACAGATATTTGTTGAATACCAACTGTGTGCTGGGCAGTGTACTGGCTACTAAGAAAACAATGTTGTTCAAGATACTCAAAATCCGGAAGAGTAATGTCAGCAAAATGATGGTTTAGGAAACTCCAGACCTCGGTTCACTACAGAAACATCAACTTAACAACAAAATAGAGTCCAAAAAGTCTTTATGAGCTCTTGAGAAATCAGGTAGGAAGATACAGCACCCCAGGCAAGCTCAAATCCAAGAACAGCCACAGTGAAGCAGGTATGAAAAGCTGTTTCATTTTAACCATGTCTGCTGCTCCCCTAAGCTGGCACAGCTTGCAATTGGGAAGAAAAGCCCAAATTGTGGCTTCTCCTTTGGGAAGGAAAATGAAGAGCAGAATGTACATTTAATGTTCTAGATTTTGGGGGAGAGGGGATGCTAAGGGACTGCTTTGTCTCTCACCTGATTCGGGGCACTGACAAGGAACTGGCATACTTTGGGTGCCTGGGGGCTGCAGAGAACAAAAGAGAACTCAGCCGACTGTGGTTGAACTTGTAATACTATGATAGAAACCACCACAGTCTGCGACGATCAGAAGTAAGCACCCAGCTCGAGTCTTGCCCCTGGGGAGAGAAAGAAGAGAGTAGAGCATGAGTCCAATGTTCTTGCTTTGCAAGTGCTGCTTGAGGGACTGGCCTGTGTCTCATCTGATGTAAAGCACTGACAGGTTTATCTTGGATACCTGTGGGATGCAGAGAGCTAAGTGGCTTGAGACAGAGCCAAAAAACCCCATCAAACCTCTCTAATTGGGAAATTACATGCACAAACCTAGAGAAGATGGATTCTCAAAAAAGATTTGAAAGGTTCCCAAAATCTCTAGCTGGGATGATTGGGAAAGGTCTTTCTCTGTATGAAACCAGTCCATCAGACTTAGAGAGGTGGCTGGTTTTTTTCAAATGTGTGGATCCCAACAGAAAGTTACAAGACACGTGAAGAAATAGGGAAACATGGCCCAGTCAAAGGAACAAAAGAAAACTCCAGAAACTGATCCTAAAGAAAGTAGTACGGTACAGTATTGTTAACTATATGCACATTGTTTTAAAGCAGATCTCTAGAACTTGTTCATCTTCCTTAACTGAAACTTTATATCCATTGAACAACACTGTCCAATTTCCCCCTCCCCACCAGCCCCTGGACACCGCAATTCTACTTTTTTGCTTCTAAGGGACTAACTACTTTAGATATATCTATCATATAAGGTATTTAAAGGTAGATTTCATGTTACATGTGTTTTACCACAATAAAAAAAAAAGGGAATTAAAAACAAGATACTCAAAATCCAGCTGGGCTTTGGACAATTAAATAAGACTATATGATACTGTTAAAAACAATGTGATTAGAGCTATTATAGGACACTACAGCGTGATCCAGGAGAATAGAGGAGCATGTAGCTAACGTCCAATGGCTGTCAGGATCATCAGGAAAGGCCTTCCAGAAGAACTGATATCAAAGCTAGGAATGAAATACTAGTGGTACGTTCCACATAAGCATGCAGGTTTAGAAAATGAGATAGTATTTCAGACAAAAGAAAGAGCATGTGAGGGCAACAGAAATGGCAACAGAAAGCAGGTTTTACTCTGGAGTGGAAAGGTATAGGATGGGGGAATGGGGAATCAAGGAGAGAATAAAGAGAAAAACTTTGCAAGAAGTTGTAATCAGAGTCCATACCATGCAGGGACTAGTAAAATATTTAAAGAGTATGGTCTCCCAAGCTTTCACCTAATAGACTGTAACTTTCATATTTGTTTTAGTCACACCTTGAACAATATTCTCCATGTCATATACAGTGTGTATTAGATATTCAATAAATACGCATTTAAAGACAACAAAATAATGTAAATACATTATCAGATTTGCAATTTAGAAAGTTCTACCTACATTTAGGAAAAGGGATTGTAAAAGGCTATCATAATGTTAACTTTGAACAGTCTTTGCACTTGCATCTGAAAAGAGTGACCATAATGCCATGTATAACACAAGGCATACTATACACCTGGTAAGGCTAGTGTACATATCTCTAACTACAGCTAAATGTGTGCATGCATGTGTGTGTATAAAATATGATTATGATATTAGCATAACAGTATTTTCATGATGTATTTGTATATTTCTCCTCTGTTGACAACTTTATTATCAATTCCTTGCAAGATTTCTATAACACACTTTATCTTATATAAGGTAATTAGTGAGTTGGGGCCAAGAGAGTAAAGATATGCACCCTCAGCACATTCTTAGTGACTTCTTACATAAAAAGTTTAGGGCCTGATGGTACATCAACAAGGGAGAGTTATCAGTTAAACGAAATATCCATTAGACTGGGAACAGAAGTTCCAACAAAGGCACAGACTGCATTAACAGTTGGATGGGCATTAGCTGTGACATGTTTGTCCTTGATATTCAAAGATAATAGCCAGTGGGTTATGATAGTCTCTCCACATGTGAACATATTTGGAAAAACCAAAAGTGTATGACCAGCTGCTCACAGGTGAAAGCTCTATGGAGCCTTTCATTTTTGGCAGCTCAACCTCTTTGACTCATGCCCTACATATGCCGTTGATTGGGAAGATGTACAGAATCCCTTATTGTTTTACACCAGTCCAATCGACTTGCTGCTGTTTCCCACTACTGCATGGCTGTGTCAAAGGGTTTGCATGCTACCTCAGAGGTTACAACTGTAAGCTCAATAGAAGATTACTTTTAAGTACAGCATCAATTGTGACTTTCAGAAAAACTGTTTGAGAGCCACAGCATATATGACTGGAAGAGATGACAAATTTTAAACAAAGTTTTTTATTTTTTATTTATTTATTTTTTTGAGGAAGATTAGCCCTGAGCTAACATCTGCCGCCAATCCTCCTCTTTTTGGCTGAGGAAGACTGGCCCTGAGCTAACATCAGTGCCCATCTTCCTGTACTTTATATGCGGGACGCCTACCACAGCATGGTGTGCCAAGTGGTGCCATGTCCACACCTGGGATCTGAACTGGCGAACCCTGGTCCGCCGAAGCGAAACGTGCGAACTTAACCGCTGCACCACCGTGCCAGTCCAGTTTTTTATTTTGTAGATGAGAAAACATAAGGTTATAGAATTTAAATTGATACATAGTAATTCTACATTGGTTAGTAACACATGTGAGGCTGGTATTCTTTCCAATATACAAGATCGTTATTAGAATAGTCCAGTGGCAACAGCATTCTTTCTTTTCCTTTTCTTTTTCTTCCTTTATCCTGTCTTTCCTTCTTTCATTTTATGTAAGCAACAACTCACTTGTTAATTCATTTATTTAGAATTTTTTTCCAAGTATTAGCATGTTCCAGGATCACTTCTAATTTCTAAGTATATAGAAATATAAGTTATAACCACAGCTTTAAAAATGATAGCTAAGGTTTTAGAACAAGATGGTATAGATTCACTTTTCCTGGTTCCTTCTCTCTAAATATAATTGTACCTTGGAAATTACTTAACAGAGAACAGTAAGAGGAATCTGAAAGCTGAAAAGAAGAATGTGTACAGGCTAGAGAGTGCAGGATTTGGGGAATGAAAACATGGTGAGTTCCCTGGATTTTCTTTTCATCTCTCATATACCCTGGACTGGGCAATGGAGAAGCCTACAACAAAGAATAACCAACAGGCATAAAAGAAAAAAAGGGGAAAAAAGAGAAAACCTGCTCTTTGTGACCAAAGGACTGGGAAAGTAGAAGCCCAACATAGACCTAGTGGGGAACCTTAAGTACTTCTCCACAAATGGGACCTCTGCTGATGATCCAATTCACCAATAGCAGTGGCAGCAGCAAAACCTCAGCCATCCCAGTCCCTGCTCCACAACTCAGGCCAAGTGAGTGGTGTCATTTCCCAGCACCTGCAGAAGCAAAGTTCTACCTATCCTATACCCCAGTTCAGAACCAGGGCCCAGAGAGTGGTCCTTTCTCTTGGCTACTACAATAGCAAACCCTGTGACTCCCTGTCTTCCACCCAGTGGAATAAGGGTACTAGGTTCACTGGCTTCTTGCCTCACCCCAGAAGACTGCCCAGTGACCCCAGAGATGGCACCAGTAGGGCTTGAGCAGGAGTCCCAGCAGTACCAGAAAACAAAGCAGACAAGAATAACATTGCAAGGGTTCAGAAACTAAACTTTCATGGGAGTTAAAGCTTAGAGAAACATACTATAACTTACACACTAATACAGGGCAACTGCCTGCTAAGATAGAATACTTAGATAGGAACAAGAGTCTCCTAACAAAATAAACAAAATGTCCATGATAAGATAAAATATCACTCATGATAACAAGAAAGAGGAGAAGCACAATTTAATGAGAAAAGACAATCAACAAATGCCAATATGGAGATGGATCTGATAGTGGAATTATCTGACAAGAATTCTAAAAGCAATTGTCTTAAAAATGCTTTAGAAATCAATTACAAATTCTCCTGAAACACATGAAGAGAAAATCTCAGCAAAGAAATAGAAGTTCTATAAAAGAACTAAAAGGAAATTATAGAATTGAAAACTACAATAACTGAAGTTAAAACCAAAAATCTCATTGGACATACTTAAGACAGTGTCAATGACAAGTATAAAATGACTGAACTTGAACACAGATCAACAGAACGGATTCAACCTAACTAACAAAAAAAATATTAACAGAGGGGGCCGGCTCTGTGGCCAAGTGGTTAAAGTTCTGCATGCTCTGCTTCGGTGGCCTGGGTTCATTGGTTTGAATCCCAGATGCGGACCTGCTCTACTCATCAGCCATGCTGTGGAGGCATTCCATGTACAAAGTAGAGGAGGATTGACAGGACTGTTAGCTCAGGGCTAGTCTTCCTCAAGCAAAAAAAAAAATAAAAAAAGAGAAGGATTGGCAATGGATGTTAGCTCAGGGTGATTCTTCCTCACCAAAACAAAACAATTTAATACAAGAAATAAGTATCTTTGTACACCTTAATTAGAAATATTGATATCTGGATATCTAAAACTGCCAAAATAACTGACAAAAATTCCAGTAAATCAGTACTTGTAAAATGACACAGTGCATTGTGACACTGAAATAATGGAAACCTATATTGTAATCACCATGATTTTTCAAAATTTTTACTTACTTGGAAACTAAAATAACTGTCCAAATTCTATTGTTTTTTGGACATGGTGTATCTATGTGATATAAAGAGACACGTAAAGGGGAGACTGCCAGGAGTGACTTGAGTTTTAACTTTATTTTATTTTTTGCTGAGGAAGATTTGCTGAGTTAACATCCATGCCAATCTTCCTCTATTTTTTAATATGTGGGCCACCAGCACAGCATGGCCACTAACAGAGCAGTGTAGGTCCATGCCTGGGAAATGAACCCAGGCCCCAGAAGGAGAGCATGCCTAACTTAATTAACCACTAGACCACTGGGACTAGCCTGAGTTTTATTTTTTAATACATTTTATTTAATGGAAATATAAAGTTACTTGAAGATTTATGACTTTTTTCTCATAATCATGTTTTTTCATGCAAATTTTTCAAAAAGATTAGTAATTTCTGTAACAATACTGTAATATTGAGGAGTAAATGGATATGAAT